AATCTCTCATGTATTTGAATCCTGAAATGACACATAATCAAATGCAGATTCAAGATTCCCTGTTAATTACATAGTACAGTGTTAATTCTCAGTACAACAGAATTTCAGCAAAAAGTGACTATAGTTATATATAGGATTCAAACACAAGAAACCGCACTAATGAATGTGTAGACTACTTTCTGCTAATGGCTAAAGAAGACACAGTCCAAAGGTTCAGGAACAGACCATTGCTCAGAACTCAGACACCTGGACTGTACACTAAAGTGCACGCTGAATGAGACATGGGTGCTCATTACTGTTGTTAGAAGTGATATGTTTGACATGAACTTTAACAATAAGGAAATCCAGAACTCTAACACTTTGCCCAGGTTTTCTGTGATCACTGGCAATGTATGATTTTCTGACACAATGTACTTTAACAGTATCATCATGAAAAGAAAATTCAGACTGGAGGTTACTATTGATAATGGCAGCTGGTTATACTTTACGATGAAACACAGCTTGTTCTCATTATTCACCACTAACTCCGAGGAAGAAGACAACATCTTTCATACACTTACAATTGATTGAAAATCTGACTCCTTGTTTTAAGATATCAAAAACATTGAATAACTTATATCAGTGTCTGACAAGGTAAAGTAATGGATGAAGAATACAGTCCTACTTTTAAAATTAAGCACCCTTAAAAAAAAAAAAAAATAAAGACAAACTGGTCTCCAAGAGACTGTTAATATTCCACATCATGAACAAGAAAATAAAAGGATTTTTAAATAGTATATAAATATACAGCAAATAATCCATCCAGAGAAAACAAAACAACCCACACGACAAAAACATCCCAACTTTTAACACTGTCATTGACAACCTCTCAGCTGGTCCTTCATAACTTTGGATCCAGGAAATCAGAAATATTAAGTGAAATGCAGCAATGCGAAAACAGCAACAAGGTCCTAGAAACATGTGCAGACTTGTCTCAAGGCGTCAGAGAGATTAAATCCCAGAACTGGAGGCAGCCAGGGACAAGAAAGAGAGAGTTTACAACTTTCAACATAAGCGTCAAGCCTGACCATCTCTTTACTTTCTCCAATTGCTATTTCTGCTACACCCTTTCTGCAAAAAAATCATCCTTCAACTCTGACTTCAGGCATAGTTTTTGAATTTCCGAAAGCCCGTGATACAGTCACTCTCACCAACCCTTGCTGTGCATTGGAGTATACCTTGAGACCTTGGGAAAATGTAGTCCAGGCTCAAGCAGCCTAAAACATACCTGTGCCCTAAGGGCTGGCTACTGGCTTTTGGAATTGTCAGTAGGGAGATTAGGCACAGAAAGTTAGGTGTAGCATTGGCTTGTTATTCCACTAAGAATAAAAATTAAAAACCATGAAACAATAAATTCTACTCTTACTGCAGTAAAACATTTGGAAAGTAAGCAACCCTCAAAGTATGAATCTGACTGGATGACTCAGACATTATTTATACTTCTCTTATGATTAACTTCTTGCTGGCAACATCATCATATAAAATAAAGCACCATTCAACACTTTCAAGGCAACTTCATTGTACACCCTAAAATTAAGCATCATAAATTTAGTTATCCTCAAAATAATTACATTAAAGTTTCACTGGCACTTTGGACAAGTCTGTGATGATATAACTTCAGCTTAAAATAGTGACCAATTTAAGCTGAACATTTGTTTAACATATTGTCATGCAACATGGATTTAATAGTAGTTTAGATATGTAATCTTGGTGTTTTTCATTAGTCTATAACTTTTTATTGTCATTTATCTAAACTATGTAAGCATTAAATCTGTGGGACTATGACCAGTACACCAAGGTCAATTCCATTAGAAAAAAAAAGTCTCTTTATTAATAAGTTCTTTGAAACGTGTTTCCAAACATTCCTCAGGAATGTAATTCTTTTTCAGTGCCATGAATATCAATACAAATACTTGCAGACTGTATGAGAGTAGGAGTGTCCAAGAACCTCAGTAATAATTAGAGTAATAAACCAAGGAGAGGCTTTTGCAACAAGGACAGTTACAAGTAATTTTGATTTGAAAAATTACATTAAACCAGTCTTAATTCTTTTTCACAGCAAAGTAGTAGGCTCTGGAAGATCACAGAATGGTTGAGGTTGTAAGGGACCTCCAGAGGTCATCTGGTCCAACTCCCAAAGATGGGCAAGAGCAGCAGATGCTACAGATCTTGATATTGGTCAGGTTTTTTATTTTTTTTCATATGCAAAGCATTGGAATAGTACAAAATTAACTGAAAAACCACAGAAAAGGAAATAGCAATAGCTCTCTGTCAAACCGAATGTGCTTATTAACTGTGTCTACTTTATACTTGCACGCTATTTTCATTTGTGATTCCAAAAGTGGAATAGATTTAGGAATTTAGGAAATATGAATCAAATTGCAAGAGCACTGGAACAAGGATTAAAAATCAAATTGGTCATGATAAATTGAAAAATTTATCTGAACAAATTAGAATACAATTTAATAACAACAAAGATGGTTACATATGAAGGAATGGTCAGCTCTGTGAATACAGATAACTATTTAGCAGGAGAGTCTTTGGAATCTTTGGGGATTACAAGTAGAATATGAATCAGGAGCACAACATACAAGTCATCTGTTCCTTTTCCACACCATGGGCACGTTTAAACCAGCATAACATCCCCATTTTGGGCATTACACTTGAAGAAAGATGTGGACCTAGTGTAGGGAACGCAGAAGCTGGCAAAAGCATGGTCAGGGATCACAAAACCACAAGAAATGTTCTGAAGAAGTAGGGTCATTTAGAAGGTTGAGGAGAAATATAGAAATCTTCACAAAAAAACAGCTGCCTCAGAAAAAGTGGGATCTGTCTGTTCTCAGCAGTGATAGAGACTTAAAGTGCTGTGACAGAGGGTGGTGTTAGACCTCATAAAAGGTTTAATTTAAGCCAGGTAACCACTGGAATAGATTGCCTAGGCACAGTGGGGAGTATCTACTGCTAGTAGTCTTTAAGAACAAGTCAAAGAGGAACCTGAGCACTTTCAGGTGGAGCTGATCCTACGTTACCACAGTGGTCCCTATGGATCTTACACTCCATGATTGTCCTTCCACAGTCACCTATGTTTCACTTCACTCCTTCCCTGGCCTCACCCCTTACCTCTGTATTTAGCTTTCAGCTCATTCCTAAAGGCCAGCCTTATACTCAAGAGATCACATGGAAGGGTATAGTGACCTGGTGTCATACTCCTATTCTGCATGCATGTTATTCTCTCCTTTCACTTGCATCTTCCCTGTATATTAGGAAGCATAAATCACCCTGTATGCATGCATACATGCACATGTGTACTTCTTAAACAGAAGAAGCTCCCACTCCTGATTAGCCTTAAAATGTCACCAAAATAAATGTTTGGTAAAACATGCTTCTTAATCAAGTTGCATTGGTACACCTCACAATGCCATTTCACAGTTATGATGCAATTGGTAATAGCTGAGATTGTACAGTATACAGAGGTGACACATTTCTTTCTAAAATAAAAGCATGAGAACATATCTAATAGCAACACTAACTTACATGATGTCATCAGTTTTGAAGATAAAATGACCCCACAGATTAATGAGGAATTCTGCCTAGAAGTCAAAGGTATGATATGATCTTTATATTATTAAACAAGAGCTAGATATGATCTAACCTACCTCAAACAGGCCAGCCTTTAATAGAAAGAAGAGAAAAAGGCTGAATACCAAGAGTCCTTATTTATTTCTGGTGTAACACCAACGAAGCCAACAGAATTCCTTGAAGTTCAGTGTGCTTCAGTGCCACGTGGCAAGTGCCACAGGTCATCCTGTAAACTGCAAGATATGACGGATAAAAAAAGCAATGACATTTTCTGTTCCTATTTAGGAGATGTTATACTAAGAAATAAGATACCACAGGACCGTATCTCAGAAAATGCCTGTTTATTATTATGTAACAATTGATGTATCAATTAACTAAGCAATTTTACAATTACAAATAGGAACATATTCCAGGAAGCCATCTGGAATGAAGAAATCATGAAGTTTCCTAGGAAATTAGATTTTTTTTTTATACCGTACATAGTAAACATAATTCTGCTGTAAATAATATACCAATAAAACATAGTTTTACATTCCACTTTCCTGAAAAGCAGTCAAGAATTAAGTAGGCTAGACTTTATTTTTTCAAAATCCTAAAACTAGGAGGTCATTCATCCATCTGATCAAGTCAGACTTACTATATTAGTCTCCAGACTAGAGATAGTGATTCCCTCATCCTTAGCACTGACACCAAACACAAGCGTTCCCAGACCCCCCTGAAGGTAGATTCTAAATAGACGGACATTAATAGTTAATGACTGGGAACAGAGCACATCAATACCTTTTAAAAAATTAACAAACCTGGATTTCCTTGGACATATGAGCAATAAGAAGAAATCACCTAGCACCTTTTTTTAGAAAATGCATTTAAAGATTTCTCATTCATAGCCTGCTTCTGGCTTTACACTCCATGATGAGGGCCACTATTTACTTGTGATGACAAGGGGTCTCTACTGTGGCCAAAGTTGTCAGCAACTGACAGCACTTCACATTTATCAATTTCAGGCTGTTCAGTGTCTTTAACCCAAGTTCTGCACTTCCAGAAGAACAAGACCCTTGCCAACAAATTGAGAACTGAGCTGTCCCAGGGAAGGGGGACTAAAGGACCTGTTAACTTCACACTATTTCCAGTGCAAGTCTTGTGTCACCCTGTTTACATCATGCATCATTCATCTGCTGTGATGAAACATAACCCCGTGTTTTAAAAAAAGACCTCTGTAACAGTGAGGATACTATATATCTGTGAGAAGTGTTTCACATATTTTCCATGGGCACAAACTGCTCCTGCTTCTATTTAAATCTCTGTAGCTCCCTTCAGGGGACATTATTCACGTTAGGGAATTCATTCAGAAGGTACTTAGCGTAAGAAGGAGAAAAGCCAGCATGGCAGCAGACAGCAACATGGCTCCTGAAGAAAAGACGAGCACTACTCCTGTGAAAAGGGCTGTCCACAAGATCCGAATGGCCAGCCTAGTCTTCAGCTTGGCACGAGGCTGGCAGCAGTGGGTATCTGACCACCATGTGAAGCAAGCCCAAGAACCCTCTGGATGGATGCCCTCTGAAGAAGACTCATCAACTCAGCCTGTACAAGAAAGACCCTTTGAAAAAAGGCCAATTCCACTTGTCAAGATGGACCAAGGAAAAGATGACGATAAATCCTCAGCAAAAGAATCAGTGACAATAAGAGATGCTGAAAAAAATGCAAGGGAATCAGATGAAGCCCTCAAAAAGTTCAACATTAAAAGCAAAGAGGTGACCAAAACAATTGTAAGCAAAGCTTATGAACGAGGAGGTGATGTTAGCCTCCTCAGTGGAAGGTATGAGAATAACAACAGTAGCTCAGAGATGACCAAGCTCAAAGAAGAATCAAGTGCTATTGACAAAATTCTTAGTGGTAAATTATCTCCAACTGTAACAAGAAAGTGTTCAAACATGGTATCAGAGCTGACCAAGGGCTGGAAACAGATGGAACAAGAGGACAAAGAGGGGGCTAAGGAAGAACTGCTGCTTAAGTGTCATGATAACAGCCTGGATACAGAGGACAGTGGCTATGGGGAAGCAGAGGACAAACTCGAGCAAGAAGACAGTGACCGAGAGGTGACAGCTGTGAAGATTAAACGACCTGTGTCATCTTTGTAAGTAAAACACCTTTATTGCAGTATCACAAAAGGTCAGCAGACTCAGAGACAGGTAGAGGTTTCCATGAGGACAAAAGGGAAAACAAAACTGGTAGGAAATGGTCAAAGACAAAATATTACTCATGAAGAAAAAAAAAAAAAACAACTCAGAACACCTTTCGCATATTTCTTTGTGCTTAACTAGTTAGTAAACATTTCTGACTATAGTCTTAGGTTTTACATGCTCTATACATAATAGACACAGGAAGTTATATGTGGGAGCTGTAATTAATTTTCTGGATTTATTAGTTCATCAGAATCACTACTTTTTAATAATTTAGTCCACATTTCACATTAAAATCTTTCACCTCATCAAGAGCCCACAGCTATTCATTTATTTAATCAGATGTTAAGTCTAAAACAATGTACCTGAAAAAAAATATTTCCAAATACTTATGCATTACTTTGCTTAGTATAAATTGTCCATGTTCTTGGGAGTGATCTGCAAAGAATGTCCAAAATAGACATTGTGGGAATTAAACCTTTAAGTACATCTTAACAGAAGCTAGTTTACCTGCTTTTCTTTGGAAGTTTTCCATGGATTTGGAATTCATAAAGTCAAATAATGGAAACTTTCACAGGAGCTGGGATCCCAAACATACATTAAAAAGGATCCAGCCTGTGTCAACATCTGCAGGTTTGTTTTGAATCATGCTGTATGTTCTAAATTATTTGACAAAGAGAACATTTCAATCATCAATTGATTCTTCAAATTCAAGGTCTTTCTACAGGTACACTGTCATAAGGGGCAGGGTGTGGGGGGGAAGTACATTCATTGACTATGCTGTGGAAGTAGAAGTTCCTGACATACAAACTTCCTGATGTCTGTAAATGATGTGAAGAAAAAAGGAAGCAAAATCTGTAACTTACCTGTGTAGTTATTACAGGTTCTACTTTAAAATTTGAATTAAGTAGCAATCAAATTCACAGCATCAGACAGGTCTGAGCTATGCTTCTTTCAGTAAGAGGCTCATGCTTGAAGATTACCAAACAACAACAGGCGCATATTAAATTTGAAGCCCAGGTAGTAAAGAAGTAGAGTTCAGCCATAGCCATGCAGTCCTCAGGAAATCTCCCAGGAGAGTAGAGGAACAGGAGAGGCAGGTAGAAATTCTCTAGTTTCCTTTCCCAGAGATCTCCAGCAGAACCATCTTTCTGGAAGATGGCTACAAACAGATGCGCTGTGACCAGTCTTGCCGATGGGTAGCTGCCAAACTAATTCATCACTCTTTTTTCAGTAAAAGATTAAAAGATCCATGTGTCCAATGCTACCAGATGGGAAACTGCAGGCAGCCGTTACAAACACAACATGCTGTTTGCCCCAGTCCTCTGTTTTACAAACTCTGTAATGCCCCAGAACAACGACAGCAGAAAGGAACGTGCAGTTGAGCCTGAACTGTTTCAGTGTAAAACCTCACATCTAGCTGTAAAATCGCGATGAGGGAGAGCGCAGCCTCTGAGGCCAGGGTGCACCGAGCCGTAGACAAGGCACAGCAGACACGCTGCCCACTGGCTTTGCTGGGCAGGGAGGACAGCTGGAGGTGAAACTTAAACCAAAGCAGGGGTTGGCACAGCTTGTCTGCCTGAGCCCATGGGGGGGAAGAGGCTGGCACTGGGGCGCGGGTTCCTACCAGGAGCCATCACATAGTGGGACTGTAGTGGGTCTGCAAGTGCTTCTACTCTGCATCCATCACCCACACGCACGCAACGTGAGCACAAGCTGAGCAGGAGGCAATTTGAGATGATAAGGCAGGGTTTTCATGCACTCAATTAGCCTGTGTATAAAGGATGAGCAAGGCAGCAGGAATCAGAGAATCAGGACCAGTATGCTCATGTTGTATCCTAATCGCCACTTCAGAAATGAAAAACTGGGACTAGCACTGATGAAAATGCCAAAACAGACTTTGTGATCCCTCTGCAGACAGTCATGTAGGCTGTACCATTCCCACTGCTCAGATTTTACACCTCTCTACTAATGAGTGTTTACCATGACCAGCAGTAGGTTATGACTAACGTAATCATGGGTTTCAACCATACCGTACTTTTTAGCACAACTGTCTGAACGCATATAGCTATTTTAACTATTCAAGTTGGAGATCAGAATGATACTTTGCTGTACAGCTGACCAGTCATCTCCCACAGGGAGCAAATGATTACTAGTCAAAGTGAAAAAAAGCTCGTCAGCAACCTAGAGCTTGAAAGTTTGTGGCCCCTGCTTTTGGAAGAGACTGTGTGCACCATCCTTTGACAGAAGTTAGGACCTCAAAACAAAGATTTCACACATATAGTGGGAAAACCAGCAGATATTGTCTGTAAATAACCTCAGTTAAAACAAATTGCTCACTTTAGAAATGCTATAGCAGAAACAAAGTAGATATCTTTCTGCTAGACTTTACTTATCTTTTCTCCATATGTCTAATTTCAGTGATGCTACCTATGAAAAAAAAACGATTAGCCATATTTACTGAGGTGCCCATTACTGGAATACCATCCTCTATGCTACTTACTTTTCTCTCTTCTACTGAAATCTGACACAAAAGTAATTTTCTGCACTTACAGTGCTGTTATCAGGACTGGATTTTTTAACTAGTCATTTAAAAAAAAAATATTCTATAGCCTTGGAATTCATTATTTCAGCCTGCTATTTTTATGAACCTTTCAGTGTGGCTTAATCTTCTTCAAAAAGGCCATAAGTACATGGATGTTAAAGCAAATCTCCCATTTTTCTGTCTATATTCTGGGAAAAAAGCATTAGTGCCAGTTTTTTGTTTTTTTTTTTTTTTTTTTTTGCTTGCATCAGCACCTTCACCATTTCCAGTTGCAATACTTACTGGAATAAGGTTGCTTCCTTAGCAGAAGGCACGTTAACTCCTACAGGCATAGAAAACACTATTTAATTTCTGATGAGAAGCCAAAGGGATGTAACAGTAATATGAAACTCAAAATATTAAAAAGGAATCTATACCTTTCCCCTGCAGAAAGGATCAGAGGGAACATGGAACATGGACAACTTCAGAATGCATTTAGGGTGATCATTCTGGTTAACAGGTTAATTTAGGGGATTGTTACAAGTAAAGCATTTCTTACAGTGGGTTAATGTTCACAACCTTTGCTTTGGATCCACAATCCATTGTGTGGTACAAACACAAAAAAAATGCTTCCATGTATATACAGTTTACTGTTTTAACTTGTCATTAAGCTAAACAATGGGGGAAATTGCACTTCAGCCACCAGAAATGGTTAAGTTAGATAGTAACAGTGAGGTTTTTTCAGTCCCATGTGGGGCACGATAAAAGCAAAAGGATAGATAATATGGTGTTTTTCTCAACCACTGAGAGGACGATTAGAATAAAGAAGGTGATAATAGCATTCAGCTAGAGAAGAGAATTAAAAATTTCAGTAGGAAAAGGAGAGAATACTTAGTAGACTGTTAAAGAAAAAGAGGTAAGAAAGCCTCTACAGAGTTACGCTATCTCACTCACTGTTGTCTTTCCCCTCAATTTGGGAAACTGAAGCTCCAGGACTTTCTCAGGGGACATGGCCCTCGGAGAGAAGGGGGAGCAGCTGGCTGTGGCTGAGCGATAAGCCCTCCGTGATGGCATCTGCTCATCAGCTCCACTGAGGCTGTTGGTATCACTTCTTCTAGGCAATTTTGATTCACTTGATTTTTGTTCCTCTCCCCCTTCCTCCCAATCTCCCCCTCCCCCTCTTCACTGATACCTTCCCATGCAAAAAGCCGAGGAAGCAATCAATCTGAGCTTCAGATGGAGTTAAGACTCCACTGACACAGGGTTTCTATGGCATTTGTAAGTTCCATAGGTTTCAGGAGACAAATTGCTATGTGTAACCAAACCCTGTGTCCACAACTGCTCTGGGCAGGGAAGTCACAATTCAGGGCAAGAGGCAAAGGATCACAGCTTTCCCTGTCTCTGTATGGCAACAGTTTATATACAGGGGGATTTGGTTTATTGATGAGAAACAAAATTGTCTAGCTTTACTCCACTAATATATTTTAATGTTTTCCTGACAACACCTACCTGTTAATCACTTACATGCACAAAACCACAGGCAAATATATACTGTCTACACTCAGGATGCTCTGCAGTCACACCACAGAAGAATGCTCTCAATTATTCTGGTGCTTTTCACCGTATTTATGGAGAAGAGTATTTGGGATCTTTTAAATGCAGTTTCTCAATACAGCTAAGCCAAGCTAATAGCAACTCCACAGCTAAAAGGGTGGTTTTGCTCTCCTACTCCTTCTTCTATCCCTGGCACTAAGTGTCTGTACTTCTCGCTCTAGCACTACAGTGCTGCCCAGTACTGGCATCCTTCTGGTCAGACCTGAACTGGGGACATCTCTATCACTCCTATTCTCTCTTTCAGCAGGCTTAGTAGAAAACAAAGGAATGGTCAAACAGCAAGGAAACAAAATATTCTGCCGGTTTGTAGTCCTCTGTACTGTTTTGTTAACTGTGTTTTGGTTCTCTGGGTTACTGTTAATATTCAGCTGACATTACTTGGGAGGTTTCAGAGCAGCCTTCTGGGAAGTAGAAATATTAGAAAACAAATTACTTTGGCACAGTCACAGCAGAACATACTCCCTAGCATACTCTGTATAGAACATACTCTGTATAGACACAATGACAGGATGCGGACAGCACGAAGACTAGCTCAGACTCTCTATATTTCCTTCACAACATGTGATATTGGCCACTAGAGGAAAGAGTATCAACAATTTGTCTGCCTGGAGTCATATGATGTTGCAATATGATGTTGCTATGCACAAACACACACACACACACACACACAAGATCAGTGAGACCTCTGAAGGTCTTTTGTCATCCTTTGACCTTGATACAAATCTCAGTAGCCCTAAGTTTCTTTCAGGCTTGTACCCTGACAATGACAACGTGAATTTTGGACTTCAATCCTTGTTCAGAACCATACTTAAAATATATGAGCATAGGCAAAGCTAGTGCACTCTATTAGCTTTTTGTTGTTGTTTTAAACATCAACACCTATTAGGGGGCAGATTTTATCTAGACACTACCTACTGTTTTTCAGTCAAGAACAGCTGAGGACTCAGTCTATACACTTACAGTTATTGTCATCTATAACATCAGGGCAGGCAGACTTCAAGCTCTGCTGTCCAGTCAGAAACGGGCAGGTACATGACTGACCAAAGGTATAAAAAGTGCAGGTAATTAGCAACATATTATTTCGCTCCCATACAGAATTAAGTCATTCTGGGCAAAAGTTTGTCAAAATGGGCTCAAATCTAGGCTAGAGGGTGGTAGCGTAAATGAGATCAAGTTGTGACCACTAAATTTGCTTTTGAGTGCAAACTGGAACACGGACTAAAAGCCCCCAAAGAACTAATTTAGAAGTAGTGAACTTATGCCACCTGGTGGTTAGCATCTGGTCTGGCAAAACCATGGTAACCACATTAATAGAAGAGATTAGTAGCAAAACCGTGTAATTCAATCATGAAATGCGAAGCGTAAATGCCTTTTTTTTTTTTCTTTCAGTGCAAACAGGTTTAGTGAAGAAGCACGTATCAAAGCCCACAGGAAATACAGCCCCGTTAGCAGCCTGAAGGACAGGTGGCAAGAATGGGCCGACCAGCACATTGAAATGCAGAAGTTGAATCCCTTCAGTGAGGAATTTGACCACGACCTGGCCATGTCCACACGCCTACGCAAAGGAGATGAAGGCTACGGCCGCCCAAAGGAAGGAACAAAAACTGCTGAGAGGGCCAAGAGAGCTGAGGCCCATATCCACCGGGAGATCAGGGACATGTGCTTCATCATTGAATCAATGGCTAAGCCACGGCCCGACGGCAAGATCCAAGTCACTTTTGGGGAACTCTTTGAGAGATACGTTCGTATTTCAGATAAGGTTGTTGGGATTCTCATGAGAGCCAGGAAACACGGGCTGGTGGACTTTGAGGGAGAAATGTTATGGCAAGGAAGGGATGATAACGTCATAATTACTTTATTAAAATAAGTATGTGACAACCAAAACAACTTGCTTTGGAAAACCTTTCTCTACTTCTTCCTTGATATTAACATTTGCACATTTTGAATACAAAATTCCCCCCCCGTTCACCCACATAAGACAAGACATTGAACATTTTTCTAAATAGGTATAATTACTGCATGCTAACACAAGCATCTGAATGGATTTTTCTCTGTACCAGGAGGGCTTGCAGGACATTTCAGTTAATTACTACATAAAAAAAAAAAAAAAAAAAAAAAAGAAGAGAAAAATCTATATTGAATTTAAGCAGCTGATCATCAAAACCCACAGTAGTATAAATAGCTACAAATGAATTCCAATTTTTACTTGTTTTTTTACATTCAAGATCTTCCCAACTGTTTAAACTGGGATATCAGGAATATAAACCATACCAGATCAGAAGTTGAATGAAAATATAAACTCAGACCAGGTTTTTGATCTGTGAAAGTGATTGTGCACATATTTCCTAATTAATTTATTTAAATGCATTTTAAAATAGTTTTATTTGAACACAGAATCAAGGATACCACACTTGTTTCCTTTACAAGCAGGATATGCAACTACTACTGCAGTATTATCTTGTGGCAGCTATTGACACAGCTTTCTCTTACATATCACATAAAAAGACAAAATCCTTTTTATAAATGAGGTTTTATATTTAATGTATTTATACAGCTAATTTATTAGATAGTTTTATATTTAGAGCTATGGATGTTGGAGAGAAAACACCCAAAAGAACGTAATGCATAAAAAAGTTTTTAATAGATAGCCACATAGAAAATACCTCCTATGCAACACTGGGCAATGTGTCATCTGATTATCTATGTAAATACATTTCTTACAAATACAGGTCAAAATAACATGTAACATACCGAAACCAGTCAGATACTTGTACTGTTGTGTATAGCAAAAAACATGACTACAATCACCATCTTCCATTGAAATATGCCTCTGTGAGAAAAGATACAGAAACACTGTTCATAACTGAAATCAACGAATTTTAAGGAAAATCGTGTTTCGTATTATACAGTAACACTGGCCTAATTTTACAGCATTTGCCATTTGAACTACTCAGATGTAACTGAAATACTGTGGTACAGTCCAGGTGATGCTGAAGAGGAGTAAATGGTAATGAACTAATACTTCTAGGTCTTAGAATAGTTTGTATTATGCACAAATCTGAGACCTCTGTAAGGTCTGTAATGCTTTCTAGATTATGTAGATCACTGTTTCTCTAAACTGCTACTATAAAAATAACTATCTTGGTAAAAATGTGCTTCACATGAAAAGTATTTGTTTTGGAGCTAGATGCCTGGACAAGTAATTTGCATAATGAAAAAAAAAAATATTTTTTTTCCCCATAAGATTCTTTCAAACTGAAAGAGCAAGTATCTTCTTACAGAAGAAAAGGTGTATGACCATCTTGTCTCTGTGATAAAACAAGTATTGCCATCTTCTTCTGAGAGTACAGGTACTCTAGTTTGAAGCTCCAATGAACAAATAAATCAAGTATTTTATAAGTTAGTGACACAAGAACTGATTACTATGTCTATTGTAAGTCTATGCAAATCACTGATATTTTAGGCACAGGTATATGTTGGGAATCTAAGGAAGAAAAAAAATTAATTATACTATGGATTCAGTGGAACTTACTTAATAATGTTTTCTTGAGATCTCTCAGACTAGTCAAGCTGACCTGCAAAACTGACCTGTAAGTGTAATACTTACATATTTACCTGCATATTCTTATCTTATTCTTTACGTTTTTATATAATGACCTTTACAGCTGTCTAAATTGTTGTGAGAAACTTTGGTTGTCAAAGGAATACATGAACTACAAATAAATACCTTAGTTGATTATTTCTTGGGTCATTCCTCTCACATACTAGAGAAGAAATACACTTTTGCATATTCTGTGAAGTAAAACATCAGTAAGTTTTTTTAAAATATAAGTACATTCTCCTTTTCACAAGAAGTTAAAATATTTCCCTGTGAAGGTTTCTCAGTCCAAAGCATCAGAACAAGATTTCAGAGTACATGAAAATGAAACAGTCCTTGTACAAAATACCTGTATAAAGAATACACACTAAAGGCATGTAAGTGTTAAGTGAATTACATAGTTCTGCTCGTGACAACTCTCATCCTACCACAGGAAACACAGCAGAGATAGAGTTCACCACAGATGCTTTTTTCAGTGTTATGTTCATGCGTGACTTAAAGCCCAAGCACACCTCACCATTGTATGAGGAATCATATACATCTGCTTTCATTCACTGACCTGAAACAGTAGAAGTGATATATTTTTGTACTGAAACACTCAAACTGTAATATACCACTAAGATGTGCCCTTCAATACTATGCATGTTTACAGCATGTGTCGTGGTTTGAGCCTGGTCTGCAACCAACCACTGCAGCTGGTCACCCTCCCTTCCCCCTCCCCACCTGGGAATGGGGGAGGGGATTAGAGGGGTGAAGGGAGACTCGCAGGCTGAGATAGGAACAGTTTAAGAATGGCAATAAAATGAGAACAATGATCATGATAGGGAAAAAAGGAAATATATAAACAGGCAATGCACAAGGTAACTGCTCACCACCCGCTAACCAATACGCAGCCCGTTCCCAGCCAGCGACCCCGAGATACCAAGATCCCACAATCGCAATCCCAGAAACGAGAGAGAGCACCTTCCCAACCACCCCTCCTCTATATAGTGAGCATGACGTTCCATGGTATGGAATATTTCATTGGCCAGTTTGGGTCTGATGCTCTGTCTGTGCTCCCTCCCTGCTGCTCCCTGTGCCCTTGCACACCGGCAGGACATGGGGAGTCGGAGAGTCCTTGAAGTCTCGGTAGCAGCTGAAAACATCAGTGTGCTATCAGCATTCTTCTCATACCAAACCCAAAGCTAAATCCAAAACACAGCACTCATCTAGTCCCTGAAAAGGAATATTAACTCTATTTCAGCCCAAACCAGGACAGCATGTAATAAGAGCTTGTGGTTTCATATGAAGTCTATGCCATCTACTACATCACCTTCAGGGAAACTTCTGGAATACTACTAGGCATGTACTGCTGAAGTAGGAATCAAAAAAACCTTCCTGTCTTAGGTCTTGAGCCAACGAAGTAGCCTGTAAAAACTGCAGAGTAAATTAAGTTTTTCCACTTCCTCCTACGTGTTTGATAGGAACACAGAAGTGCGGAGTGCCTCTTCTCCTCTATATTCTACTTGCTGAGCACTGCTTCTAATGAAGCAACCATTACATGAAAGGAAGGCAGCAATCGTTGCCAACAATTTTGATTCGCATGAGAGCCATCTCTGCCTTGTTGCATGACTACTGACAAGAAAGGCTGGGCTGACTGAATCGCAAGCATTAGCTCTGGCATTTTACTGCTCTTGTCCATACAATGCAGGGAGACAAGACACCTGACTTGGACTGAATAAACTGCTGGCATTCTCATATGCAAGCAACTTCCTCCAGCTTCATTAGGGCAAGTTAAGAATTTACTTTGGAGGCAACAATTGATCCTGACCCAGTATTAACATCTGAAATTTAGGCATATCTGCACATAGGTTAATGCGGAGATTTGTACGAGTTTCATCCACTTAAATATTTGTGAGTAACACATTATTGACATTTGACTTTTCTGCAGGCTGCTGTATGCCCACCAGCAGTCACTGTGGGCAAGACTATGTTTTAACAGTTTCATAAAATTCATACACTAATACTGGGTGCAAGAGAGACAAGGACAGATCAAACTTCTCAGCTGAACTGTAATTCAGTGACAGAGGAGATGGGGAACCTACTCATTTTCTCCTTTATGGAACGTAGCAGAGAGAACTGAACTTCTGTAACTTTTATTCAAACATATTCAGCAACAGAACAGACCACTGACATTCTACTTCTTGAATCTCAACATTTAATTTAGCTGATAGAACATAGAATAGAATTGTTTAGGTTGGAAAAGACCTTTAAGATCATTGAATCCAACTGTTAACCTAATACTGCCAAGTCCACCACTAAGCCATGTCCCTAAGCACCACATCTACAAGTCTTTCAAATACCTCCAGAGATGGTGACTCAACCACTTCCCTGGGCAGCCTGTTCCAATGCCTGACAACCCTTCCAGTGAAGAATTTTTTTCCTAATACCCAATCTAAACCTCCCCTCGCACAACTTGAGACCATCTCCTCTTGTCCTATTATTTGTTACTTGGGAGAAGAGACCGACACCCACCTCACTACAACCTCCTTTCAGGTAGTTGTAGAGAGTGATAAGGTCTCCTCTCAGCCTCCTTTTCTCCAGGCTAAACAACCCCAGTTGCCTCAGCCACTCCTCAGAAGACATGTGCTCCAGACGCTTCACCAGCTTTGCTGTCCTTCTCTGGACACGCTCCAGCACCAAAATGTCTTTCTTGTAGTGAGGGGCGCAACACTGAACACTATTCAATGTGCAGCCTTACCAGTGCCAAGGACAGGGGGACAATCACTTCCCTAGTCCTGCTGGTCACACCATTCCTGATACAAGCCAGGATCCTATTGGTCTTCTTGGCTACCTGGGCACACTGCCGGCTCATATTCAACCGACTGTCAATTGATGCCCCCAGGTCTTTTTCCACCAGGCATCTTTTCAGCCACTCTTCCCCAAGCCTGTAGCATTGCATGGGGTTGTTGTGACCCAAGTGCAGGACCCGGCCCTGAGCCTTGTTGACCCTCAAACAATTGGCCTCAGCCCATTGATCCAGCCTGTCTAGATCCCGCCGTATAACCTTCCTATTCTCAAGTAGATTCCTGCCCAACTTGGTGATGTCTTCAAACTTACTGAGGGTGCACTTGATCCCCTCATCCAGACCACTGATAAAGATGTTAAACAGAATTGGCCCCAGTACTGAGCCCTGGGGAACACCGCTCGTGACCAGCCACCAACTGGATTTAGCTCCCTTCACCACAACTCTTTGGGCCTGGACACCCAGCCAGTTTTTTACCCAGCAAAGAGTGCATCTGTCCAAGCCATGAACAGCTGGTTTCTTCAGGAGACTACTGTGGAAAATGGTGTCAAAGGCTTTATTAAAGTCTAGGTAGACAACATCCACAGCTTTTCCCTTACCCACTAAATGGGTTATCTCGTTATACATCAGGTTAGTCAAGCAGGACCTGCCTTTCATAAACTCACACTGACTGGGCCTGACCACCTAGTTGTCCTGTAGATTGTGTGATGG